GTCAGACAATGGTTCAGAATTCTTAAATCATGAGTTTCAAACATTTCTTGGTGAATTAGGCATYTTACACCAGAGAAGTTGTGTTTACACTCCACAACAGAATGGTGTTGTGGAGAGAAAACACAGACAACTCCTTCAAATTGCTAGATCCTTGTTATATCAAGCTCACCTACCTAGAAAATTTTGGAGTCATGCCTTGCTTATGGCTACATATATAGTGAATATGCTGCCTTCTTCTGTTTTGTAGTAGAAAACACCTTATGAGCTTTTGTATAACACTCTTCCAAACTATGACAATTTAAAATGTTTTGGTTGTTTGTGTTTTGCAACCAATACAAGACCTCACAAAGACAAACTTGATTCAAGAGCCCTTAAATGCATTTTCTGACTTTGAACCTGGACAAAAGGCTTACAAGTTGTATGACCTTTCTACTCATCAAATTTTTACACCCAGAGATGTAATTTTTCATGAAACAACTTTTCCATTTGTTGATTCTAATCCTAAACCTCTTGATGTTCCGTTGCCTTTATCATTTGATGATCATATTTCTTATATTGAAAATTGCACTCCATATCCTATTCCTTCTAATGATCCTATTCCTTTTATTGACCCTTCCACTGCATTACAAGATGACATTCAACCTAACCTAGAGAGTCAACCTTTAGAACCTGAAATTCCTAAAAGACAAAGTACTAGGACAAAATCAAAACCTGCTTGGTTAAATGACTTTGTCACAAATTTTAGCTTTACAAATCCATAATCTCCTGCTGCTATTACTTCTCAGTCACAGTGTTTGGACCCTTCCCCATATACACCTCGCACATATCCATATACATCAAATTTTGTTTTTTCTCATGCATATATGCAATTTTTGGGCAATGTATCTCAATTTCAAGAACCTAAATCCTATAAACAAGCTAGTGGTCAGAAGGAATGGGTTGATGCAATGAATAAGGAGTTGGCTGCTTTAGAACAGAATGAAACATGGGAATTGACTGCATTACCTGTTGGAAAAAAGGCCATAGGCTCAAAGTGGGTATATAAAGTCAAATTAACTCCAGATGGGAGTGTGGAAAGATGCAAAGCTAGGCTTGTAGCTAAGGGTTATAATCAAGTGGAGGGGGTTGACTATTTTGACAGCTGTTCACCTGTTGCAAAGATAGTTACTGTCAGAATTTTTATGGTGATTGCAACTGCTAAACAATGGCCTATCCATCAGCTTGACATCAATAATGCCTTTTTACATGGCTATATTAATGAAGAAGTCTATATGACTCCACCAGAACGATATACAAAGGCTAAATAGGGTGAAGTGTGCAGGCTTAAAAGGTCTTTGTATAGGCTTAAGCAAGCATCGAGGCAGTGGAATTCAGAAATTTGCTCAAAGTTAAAGGGTTATGGCTTTGTTCAATCTTCTCATGATCACTGCCTTTTTATCAGAAAGTCAGATCAATCATTCTTAGCTCTCCTGGTTTATGTTGATGATGTTTTAATTACAGGTGATAATGAGAAGGATATTATTAAGGTGAAACAGTTTTTAGACTACTTTTACCATTAAAGACTTGGGTTATGCCAAGTACTTTCTGGTATTGAAATTGCTAGAAATTCAGAAGGAACCTACTTAAGTCAAAGGAAGTATACCTTGGACTTGATTAAGGATGCAGGGCTTTTAGGTGCTAAGCCAACAACCACCCCATTGCCTAAAGGTCTTAAACTTTTCAATAAATCCAGTGCTTTGTTGTTTGATCCTGATAAATACAGAAGATTGGTGGGAAGGTTGCTATATTTGAATTTTACAAGACTAGATATTACTTTTGGAGTTCAGCAACTTAGTCAATTTGTTGCTGCCCCAACCATGGATCATTGAAATGTTGCCTTACATGTGTACTTGAAAGGTTCTCCAGCTAAAGGATTATTTTACTCTGTTGATAATTCATTGAAACTTGAAGCTTACTATGATGCAGATTGGGCTTCATGCCCTGATTCCAGACGTTCCTTGACTGGTTAATGTGTTTATATTGGTTCAACATTGGTTTCTTGGAAAACCAAGAAACAAACCAGTCTCAAGGTCTTCTGCAGGGGCTGAGTACAGGAGTCTTGCCTCAATAGTGTGTGAAATTCAATGGTGCACTTATATTCTCAATGATTTTCACATCCCACTTTAGCTTCCTGTAAACTTGTGGTGTGATAATCAGGCTACACTTCACATAGTAGCTAACCCTGTTTTTCATGAAAGAACCAAGCACCTTGAGATTGACTGCCACTTGGTGCGTGAAAAATTCAAGGCTGGATTGGTTTCTCCTCAACACATCTCTACACATCAGCAGCTGACAAATTTATTCACTAAATCTCTTTCAAGCCCTCAGTTTTTCAAGCTACTGTCCAAGTTGGGCATGACTGAGCTCAATCTTGCTCCAACTTGAGGGGGGGATGTACAACTGCTGTAATTTTAGTGTAGCTCATTTAGTTAGTTATTTATTTTGTTAAGTGAGTTAAAGAATTAGTTAGTTAGTTTTAGTGAGCTGGCATTTTGTTATTATTCTTTCTATTATTCTTTTTGTTATTCTTTCTGTTAGTCTCTTGGTTTTGTATATAAGCTCATGTAAGCTACTATTAGTAGCAGGTTTTTTGATGAATGAGAAGTTTCTCTTCTTCTTTTTCTTTTGGTTTCAAACTGTTCATATTTACTTTTTCTTTTGGGACTTTATGTCTTTATCACTATTTGTGCCAATAGGCTAACTTGGCACGCAGGAGTTAGGTGGACAGCCTTTTCAAAGTGACAATCTGACAGACACAACCTACGTCATGCAGGTTATTCGGTTTAAAAAAATAAAACTATTGAACCCATCAAGTAGGCTCTAGGCTTTGTAAAACCCATAAATTCTCTCTCAATTCACTCACTCTCTCATCTCTCTCTTCTCTTCTCTTTTCTTCTTTTTCTTTTTCTTCTTCTTCTCTCTCTCTCTCTCTCTCTCTCTCTCTCTCTCCTGTGATTGGGTTTGGGTTTCTGGGATTTTGATACTACTCAACATTTGCTTTGGGTTTCTGGGATTTTGCTACTCTTGAATGTTTGCTTTCTACTAAATGGTTCTTTGAGTTTCTAGGATTTTGCTACTATTCAATGCTTGCTTTCTCCTAAAAGGTTCATTAGGTTTCTAGGATTTTGCTACTGTTGAATGTTTGCTTTTTGTTATGATTTCTATTACTATTGAATTTTGGGTATGGAGAAATAGAGAATATATGGTGCTTAGTGGGAACCCTAGATTGTTTCTATTCTTGTGTTTGTTGGGGTTTCTCATTCTAGGGGGAATCCTAAACTATATCTTCTTGTGATTTTGTCATTCCTAATTTTTCGTCTGGTGTAGGTGATGAGTAGTGATCATCTATTTTCGATGGTGGATTATCCAACTCGTGGTGTTCTGGGTATTGGAACACAACAATAGTTATGGTTTAATGGTATTTCGCGTTGGCCTAGTTGGTGGGTGATGTTTATGGTAAATTTGCTTCATTTTGCTTTGTGGTCTCAAATGAACTCTTTCATTTCATTGGTCTCGAGAGTTAAGATGATAAATGCACTGCAAACTCTTATTTATTCTTGAGGAGCAAGTACGCATAAATCTTTGTATGGTGCTCTCATCTAGATACTCTTTAATTCTTCTCCAGGGTATTAAATGAACTATTTAACATGCTAATCGATTTATGGTAACTATTTATCCTCTTGTATAGCACTTGGTGCATTTTCTTTCCTTTTTTCCCAATAACATGTGATCGAACAAATTGGCAGTGAGGATCATATGGTTGTGTCATGCTACTACTGATAAAGAATGGTTTCATTTCTGAAAAAATATAAAAGTTGTAGTGGTGGATTCGACTGAGTGACTAGAAATAGGGGTGAACACTATTCGGTTAAAACCGAAAAATCGAATCGAAAATTTCAGTTTCGGTCTTAAATCAGTTTGGCTATTTTGGTTTTTGGTTTTGATTTTTAGAATTAGAAGTTCGGTTAGCTGAATTACCAAACTTTCTATTATTATGTATAATATATAATATGTAATATGTAATATATAATATATAATATTTTATATATTTATATATTAATATATAATAAAATGAAATTCAATTTCATAATATATTTTTTATAATATATAAAATATCATATGTTATAAACTTATAAAATATAGAGTAAATTACAAAGACCCCCTAGTCATTAAGTTAGATAATGGAATGCGTTAAATTACCAAAATACCTATTTGAACTTTCTTTATTTTCTTTTTATTGCCCTTTTCTCTTAAACCTACTTTCATGCGTCAAATCCACATTTTAGTCTTCTTTTTTTCTTTCTTTTCTTTTCTCCCCATAGAAGATAACTTCTTTAATAGTTGTCATCCTCCTTATCGTTGGATTGGATGTTGCTTATCATGGGTCGACCACAAGTAAACCCATGAAATTGGTCTATGCAAAGGGTAGAAGATGATGATGACAAACAAGATTTATCGGAGCTTCCATTGGTTTTCTGGCAACAGAAGAATGACAGTTGTGATGAGGCTCCAACCTTTCCTTCACTTCTCTTACGGGCCATGACAAGGTTCCTACTAGGTAATGGAATTATTGGTCATACGCGATGTATTGTTGGGTGAAGTAACATGACACACAGAGAGAACCTTATTGACAACTAAACCATTTAACATAGATAGTTAAGTTCAGATTAGTGGAGTTGACACCTCAATTCCACTTACAATTCCTATTCCCATTGTTCAATTGTTTCCCTAAAAAAGAGAAACTACTATTTGAATTTGTAACCAATGAGATAAAAAAGAAAGAAACCATTCATCTATACTTATACTTGCGGGTACATTGTGCCTTCTCTATCTAGCATTGCCAGAAGTGAACATCTAGACGAGATGTTCATCTAAGAAGATTAATGGAACTTGATTCCATTACCCAATAAATCAAAGCTCTTGAATCTATGATGGGAGATGGCAATGTTAAAGCAAAGGATGAAACTGAACCACAAAGATTAGATGTAGAAGAAACAGTGACAAGGGAATTTTTTCAGATGCTTGAGGATGAAGTGGATAAGGAGTTTCAACTTGATCAATCTGATATTTCACACTTCAAATTAGGAGGAGCTGAAGAAGATAGTGAGTTTGAATCCAAGGTTTTCTTGCCTGATCTTGGAAAGGGTTGGGATATGTGGTTCAAACAAGAGACAGTGGTTACTTAGCTACCATATACCCTCTAGACATTAAAATGTCAAGAAAAGAAACCCCAAAACTTGCAATGCAAATCTCAAAACCTCTAGACATTGAATGAGGAACTAGTGGATGAGATTCTAGCATTTTCAATGCAAAAGATTGATACAATGACAATTGAAGCTCTAAAGGTTCAGGCAAAGATGACGTTTTTTTTTTTATCAAACTAAAACAACTTTATAAAATATAGCATAAAATTTTCTACTAAAGAACATAACCCCTGGGTTCCTTGTTTCAACTTCAATACTCATCTAGCTACAAAATAGGAATAGGAACTAACAAGACATCTTGGATGGTTACACAAGTGCTAAAGCCAAAAAGCAAACAAAAATGCAATTACCCAAACAACATTATTACCTACTATCGCTTCAATGTCCATATTAGAATTTGGTGGCATACTTCTTCATTGGAAAATACATCTCCCTCTTTTTCTCCCTCTCAGGCTCCAATAAAGCTTGATGCTTTGTGAGACAATGCCTGATTGCCCGAGTCTTCCTTGACCAAAGATCTAATGGCACAAACTTCTTCTTCTTGTATGCTTCTCTTAATGCAGCTTTCTGCTTCTAGGAAGTAACGGTATTACATGAGCAATGGACAACCTAAAAACCTTAATGGTAAGCCATTCGGAGCAATGCAAGCTCAGCCTTAAGCTCATTAAGTTGGTTTAGAAGCTCAGTTTTTGAGTTTGTTCGGAGCTCGTAAACCTTAATATTTGCCATTTGATGCAATTTCTAATGGCAAAGAAAGCCTCTTGCACTACTCTTATGGAAAAATGCAGGTAGAGATGGCATTTTCAATCGCATAAGTGGGATTTAATTATCAAAAGGGCAGTTTGGGGATTTAAAACTCTTGTAACAGTGAAATGAGAATATGTTTCACTGATAACTGATGGAATGCTAAAGGAGGGGGTCTTTGTTGCAAAAAAAAATGTATAAGGGGGTCTTTGTCACTAACCCCATAGATTTCTTCATACGGTTTTCTTTTAACATATTCATCGTAATCCTGGTGATGGTAAACTACATGTACATTAGCCCCCTACTTATTGATAAGAGTA